TGAAGTTAATTTTCGGACTTTCTTGTTGGATTCGATATAACTGCACACATTTAGCAGAAATTATCTGACTTTTTGCCTCGACTGCGCCGTGTCACGACCATTATGTTAGTAGTGGTCGTGGTAATGAAAAAAGATCTTATAATGATGTGGCAGGACCATTTATGTTAGTAGTGGCCGTGAAAAATATTGAAACAAAATATTCATCTGGATGTAGCCGCTGATAATGCCTGCTTGTTGTTATCATTCCATCCTGTATTCCTGGATTGTTGTTGTCATTTTCTGGCATTATTAGGATCATATTTTGTCACCTTCCTAAGGCATGTAGTTGATTCTGTGCCCTGCTGAATAAAAAGAAAATCTTATTATATTTTTTCATCACGACATTATTTCATTTATACAACTGGATAAACTATTTTCATATTTTCTTAAATCTTTTTCGGATCGGGATACGTCTCCGTTTAGTTCACATTGCTGTTCATCGTCTTGTTTTATGAATTTTTCCGGACATAACCAGTCCAATTTCATTTTGACCTTGTTATTCTGTTAAGATGGTATCACCGACAAAAAATTGAAGTTCATTTAGAGTTAAAGAAAAGTGCGTTTTCGTATTCACTACACTTGATAACCTGAAAAAATTTTCTATTTATAGCCAGGGGTACCACCAAAAAGTTAAGAAAAATTTTTACCATCGGGATTTTTCTGCGTCAATTTGTTTGAAAATTTTTCTTAACTTTTTGGCGGTACCATTCGCTAAAAGTAGAAAAGTTTCAGGTTATCAAGTATGCTGAATACGAAAACGCACTTTTCTTTAACTCTAAACAAACTTTAATTTTTTTTTATCGGTGATATAAATCATTTTTCAGAATAGGGTACATCGAAGAAAGAAAAGAGAAAAAAGAATCGAGATAGTCGAGGATAAAGATACCTACACAAGGACACATGCAACTGCGCAATTTAATTTTTCTCATATTTTATTTTATACTTTGACAAAGAAAGGATAGATGGTAGAAAGAAAAATAGGTACAAGAGAATAAGAAGTACAGGATCGTAATTGTAAATCGTGTAAATAGAGAGTTTCATATTATTCAATTGGTGGAATAATACTTCTTGGATAAGGATAAGGATTTTTAATAAAGCGATAGATCTGAAATTTAAATAAAAATAACTTAAACCGGTACTTATGTTATACTTTTTGTAATAAGGTAACTTGCAATAATAATGAATGTGCGTGTTGAACCATGTTGTTTTAAAGAAATTTTTCTCGAAAAATAACTTCTCATTCTATAAAGAAGTATATCCTCTTTTCAGAGACGGTGTTTCATATAGTTTTAGAGTAGGGAAATAATTTTTTCGTTTCATTCCACTTTTACAACGCAGTGTGTTTTGTGCGACATCTATTTCTTTAAGTTAAAACTAGAAATAATCTATATGTGGCCAAGGGGATTGTAAGTGGGTTGATAGATGTGATATCAAAGACAGAACCGGAGCGTCTATGAGAACTAGGAAATGCTAGGAAAGTCTGTTCCAAAATGTTTACCACACATTGTAAGCAGAATCACTGTAAGTATGTTCTTAGATTTTGCACTGAGAATCACTAGTTGGTTCTGTTGTACGAATGCTCACTCCTATCCTCAAATTTAAGGATGAGAAGGAATTAAAGATATCCGTAAAAAAGCTGATAATCTTAATGGCAGACGATATCGTAAGTACTGTAAATTTTGCAGTACCATTCGTACAGCAGAGTTTGCACTGTAGAGCACAATAGATAAAGATAATAATAATATCAGAAATACCTTCGTGAATGCATAAATTATTAAAGAGTTAGTTCACCAAGGTTTTACGCAGATATCGAAAATCAAATAGCTAGTACGAGTAGCGGTGTATGCTGATATATATGATTTCTTTTTCTCTAGGAAGTGTTTGTTTAAGTTTTAGTGGTTTTCTTGAAAGCTCCTCACAATGCCATAATTATCTCACAGAACCGTTTTTAGCAGCTTTGACTTTTCGTCGGAGCAGCTTTTCAACCAGAAGGCTTTGATCTTTAAGGTAAAATATTTCAAAAATCCCTCAGCTTAAATACTGAGTGTTTTTCGTATTAGTTTGTATTTTGGATATCATGACGGAAAGAGAATGAGTTTGGAAAAGCATGTGATACAACATGAGGAACTCTTTTAAATAATGGGGTTTGCATAAGAAAACTAGCTACTCTACTAAAATATCCATAAATCTCAACAATGGTTAATTTACGGAAACTGCATCCCAAAAGGCTAATGTTTTCAATCATTTTTCATAAACAATATCGCCAACTAAAGATCAGAAACAATTAGCATTATTTTTTTAATAAACTGACGCATCAATGCAAGATGAAGTTAATCATAGTTCCTGTTTTTGATATATTTCAAATAATAGCTTGAATAAGGCTGAATAAAAAGCTTTTGGTCTATTTCCTTAGCTTAAAGTTAAAATAGGAAAAAGAATCCAACTAACAGATCACTAATGTTAGTCTAAAATTAATAGCATACTGATTTTAGTGCTCTGCGATTTTATATTCGTGTAAATCATATTAGAATTATCGAAATGTTGAACGTAAAAAACAGCGACTTCTTCCCCTGATGTATTGTCCAATTGATGATTTGAATAACAAGTATAGTCCATAACCAATAGTTAAAATTGATATAACCATACCCATAGTTGGATTCATATACCATACATTTGAGTTTATATACTGGTAAACAAATGCACTAACTGTAACACACAATGATATTAAACCATTAATGCCCGTATTGAATGCATCAACATATGCTGATGTAACATTTAATCTTTTAGCTAAAATAATTTTAGCAAAAGCCAATAGTGAAAATAAAATCGTTTCAACACTACTTGAAATAATCAAAATAAAGTTTGATTTTGGTTTAATATTTCTTAAAATATCGGATATTGAGTTGATCAGACAACTACATCCGGATAATGTAAGTAGTATGGCTAACAAACATAATGTAGACAATTCATATTTTAAAGTATCGTTATGGGAATTTTGAAAACGCCAGATGATAACTACAAAAAATAATACATTTAGAAATAAAGTCATTACAAAACTTATTGCAGATACTAATTGATCTATTTCAATTGAATAAAATGTTATTGTTCCACATGCAATGGTTAAAAGAATGGATATAAGGCTTAACACAGTTAATATATGTCTTGAGTGAGTTTTTCCTTTATCATTATCAACTATTTGAACTTCTGTTGTTTCAATTGAATCGTCATATGGAATTAGTGATAGTTTTGCGTTGTATAACGATATGAAAGGCTGATCGATTAACGGAACATCATCATCATCGTCATCATTGGCAGACATCTAAACCTCAAAAAAGACCTAATTGAAGAAATTATGCTAGACATTTTTTTCAGCATAACTCTGATCTTACAGACATATTTTTTGGACAAAGTAACTAACCTTAATATGATCCTAGTTCTAGAGCAGCAAATACGTGAAATGGTGTCTGGTTTTGTATGTAAATTATTACGAAAATCGTAGAATAACCTGATGTTTATAGCACTCGGGTCACCTTAGACAATTTTCATGTACTGTCACGCTAGAATGAATCGGTATAGAACTTTTATTTTATTATTCCTTTAGGTATGTTATATGTATGACTAACGTGAAAAAAATGAAAAATACCCTTATAAGAAAGAATGGAAGCCAATTTACACAGAAATCGGCTTCTTGACATTTTTCTGCGAATGATAGCCTTCTGAAAACGCATCAGATCAGATTCGGGTCTTAGAAAACTATTTTTCGAGTAAAATTCTGGACTAGAAAAGAAAAAATTCAAGTGCATAACTCGAACTTTTGTACTCAGAAAAGCAAACTATATAGATATCTGAGCGTACTTGGCAGTTTTTGTGCAAGACCTTTGGTTTTTCACCCAAAAATCTCTAAAAAAAGGTTATTTCACAAGAAGCATTTTTCTGAGTCTTTTATATAATCAAGGAGGCGAGTGCTCACTGTAAACTTATTCGTATTGCATCAACTTCGCGAACTAACATTACACTAATTAGAGTAGGCCCATTTCCATCTTTTATACTAATTTAAAGTACACGAGTTGTACACTATGTTGCTCTATTTTTTAGAAAAGGATCCCTGTTAGTCTTTGAGAAATATGACTGCGAATATGATCAATTATTGTTTAGCAAAAAGCAAGTTTTCGAGACAAGCAAACAAGTCTTTGGAAGTCACGCACAGTGAGTAGAACACAAGCGCTATCAATAACAGTGAGCACTCGCTATATACAGCAAAACTAGTATACAATCAAATGTTCTATAATAGAGGAATAATTGGGGAATAGAGGAAGAGCGTAATGACAGAAGAATAAGAGAGGAATAGAAGAATAGGGTAACAGCGGAATAGAGGATTAGCGACCGACCGACCGGAATATATTTTGAAACGCTCCCTTAGAGGCCTATTTCATTCGTCGAGTGCGTCAGATTTCCATTAATATATCTTCAAAAATATTCAAAATATTCTCAGTGCAAAATCTAATAACATACGAAATTCCCATCAGAGACGGATCGCAGGAAGATTTACTGAGCGGAGGGTCATTTACTATTGTTCCAAATGTACACGAATAGTATGTTATTCTTGTAGTTATAATGTTCCCACAATATCTGTTGGATCTCGGGTATGTGATTACTGTTTTATGAATGACGTTTTACTAGAAGTTGACAAAATTTAGACCTGGTTTATTGAAAGTAAATGATTTTAGTATCTTCTTTCTGTACAATCCTCACAATAAACTATGTAGTAGTTCATTACTTAGAGACTACCATATTACTAATTGGTCGGAAAAATCTCGAAATTGGCTCGTTGTGTACAGAGCAGTTAGTGAATTTATTTGTGCAAAATATTTTGTACAATATCTTATGAAATATTGCAGAAAATAGGTTTTACTAAAACGTTGAAAATTCGTGTAATTTGAACGGGGTGGTTCCAATTAGACACACATTTTGCTGTACGGTTCCAATTAAGCTCAGTGCCTAATATGCAACCATCTCGTTTTTAGATACACTAAAGTATGGTAAGTATAACTTGGGCAATTTTGGTCCTACAAATCTCGAATTAGTGGCATTCGACGGGGCTCATTCTCCGGATTATGACCATACAAGAACTTCTTAGTTTATCGTACAAAGTCTTTTAAAAAATAGGTTTTACTAAAACGTTGCAAACCCGTGTAATTTCAACGGGGCGGTTCCAATTAGACACACATTTCGCTGTACGGTTCCCATTAGGCACAGAGCCTAATTGGAACCAAAATGACCCTCCGCTCAGTAAATCTTCCTGCGATCCGTCTCTGATGGGAATTTCGGAATAATTTTAAGATCATTAAATAGATAAGACTTTCAGCTACAAAAGCCCGCAAATTCGGTGCAAATCGCTTCAAAACTCACTCAGATACTAGAGTCACGAGTGAGACAAATATGGTTGCGGTTTCAATCAGACACTTTACTCTATAGTTTCTTCCTTATATTAAGAAAAGCGTTGTATCTTAAAAAGGCCTAAATAGTATGACAGTAGAATGAACTATAAAAGAGATGTTCTCTTTTTGCTTGAAATACGTTATTGATAGCTTGTTAAATGAATAATCTTTGGATACTTGGCGGCTAATTGTTTTTGAAGAAGTAGAAACAATTAGAAAAGAAAATCAAGTTCGATGTATATAAACTACATACAGCAAAACTAGTATACAATCAAATGTTCTATAATAGAGGAATAATTGGGGAATAGAGGAAGGGTGTATTCTCGTTTCGCCGACTCATTAAAAATATTCTCGTTTTGCCGACTTTTTTCTTAATTGATATATACACTAATTAAGTGATATGTATGAAAAATTTATATTTTGTAATACAGAAAAAGAAAAGAAAACTTAGAATTTTGTAATACCAATCAGTTTCATACTTCGGTCGTGAAATTCATTTAATGTTAATTTGTGTTCTTTATATCTTTTTTCCAAATCAAGAATGCGTGTATTTCGTTGAACATATAACTTTTTACGTGAGGGTGTTGCACCAGT